GGAATCAATCAAAGCTTTATCTTTGGTGAAGAAACTGCGGCAACTACGAGTGAATGATTCACCTTATTTGTCAAGGTTCACTAGGCAAACTGAGCAAGCTGGTGCCCATGGCAAAATATGCAATACCTGTAACAAGTTGTTACTCCTCTATCCCACCTACACAGTACTCCGACCTCCTTTAAGGATTTTGTACATGTACATTGCAACAACATTCTCCAGTGATGAAGTCAGTTGCATGGAGACTTAACTCCAGGCGCAAGTTTGGTGTTGCACAGAATACCCTTTTAAAACCTTGCACAATCTTAAGTTTGGGGGTGTAACATGTGTAAGCTGCTATAGGCATTCAAACTCAGAATTTTCCCTTTAAAAATAATATATCTATACAATGAGCATTAAAGACCTAAGACAGAACACACGTGATGAATCAACTTCCCCATACGTGATCCAAAAAAAAAAAATCACTAAACTCCTCCTGCCTCCCACATATGCATAACTTTTTCATGAGAAAAACTTAGATAAGTTACTTATTTGTCTTCGGGGGTATAAAATATAAGATTGCAAAGTCCTAAGGGGAATGAATACCTAGGAAATCAGAAACTGCCATTCCCTGCAGTATTTTGAACGAGCTTTTAGATTAAGCGTTCAGAAAACATTCCTAGGAGTGAAAGATTTGGGTTGCTTGTTTGAAGGAACGGCTATTCAGATTCTCAAGTAAAACACCAATAATCTGATTTACATCTGATTTCCTCTTCCAGGTACGGCTTCAATAACCGTCTCTAAAGTTACGTCCAGAAAGCCTCATTGCACAATCTCCTCCCTCCCCCTTTGCCAGTCTATGCATAACTTCAGCAGTTATGGTCAAGTCACACATTATTAATTGGGAGCATTTGCTGCTTTTTACAGAGCACTGGTATTTTCACTCCACCTTATTCATCTTTGCAGACCTAAACAATCCACTTGGATAAAATTACATATAATACAGTCTTCTTCCGTCTTGCTTAGCTATCTGCTCAGCCTTACTACAATAAAGTTAATCCAAAGTATTTACCAAAAGGGCCAGCAGGGTCAAGATAAAAGGTTCATCTGTTTTTTTTTTTTTTTTTATTGTAAAGAAGAAAAAAGAAACACCCCAAAACTCTCATTTATTAACTTATTGCTCAAAAATCAGCTAACCATGATCAGTATCTTCCCGGATAGACAGCTGCACTTGGAAACACATTTCATGAAATAGTTTTCCCGTTGCTAGGCCAGGCATTTGTCACTAGCTAAAAACAGGGTTACGAAGTACCATCTCATTTTTGGAACATGATTTTAATTTCATGTCCAGATTATTAAATTGTTTAATTTTGGCATCAGCCCATGTGAAGACAGAGCTCCTTGTGCAGTTAAAGGCATCTGGAACTGTCTTAATTATCTCAGCGTTTCACACAGATGTAGCAATGCTTACACAATGTAGTGATGGGCACATCAACAAACCTGAAACGTCTAAGAGTATATTAAAGCTCCATTCAATGGTCTCAGTCATACAAACTAGTGTGAATCCTCGCCAGTTCTTCTGGATTATTACCTAATCTAATAAATAGCTTGAATTCCTAAAATTAGTACGGGCACCAAATCGACCACAATAACTCCTCATTATTGAGCTAATTCCATCTTTAAGGACCTTCAAACCATGGAATTTGACCTTTTGAAACCATAGTGCCTTTATTTGTTGAAATACTTCTCAGTTGACGGGCTTGCCAATAAATACTTGAAGTCTCACTTACAGAACGTAGCTGCTATATCCCAGTCCCACCCTTGCATAAAACCAGAATCACATGTTAAAGTTACAAAACGTTCAGCCACTGAAGGTTTCTCCTTAAATACAAATTCACTGATTTTAAGGCCCAAACACAAATAGCTCTTCAGTTTACAAACACGCCCTTCACCGTGCAAGTGGAAGCCACTGAAAAGGAAAAAAAGCATGAAGGAAGTGGGATTACACAGCAAGGACAGAGCCTTTCTAACTGATGGGACCACACCTGCTTTGGCAAGCGCCCAAATTTACTCTCTAGCAAGTAATAAAGACAAAGGTGCCCACGATTAGTTAGAAAAAAGGGGGGAAAAATCCAAAAGAAAACAGACTTTAGGTCTGTAAAGAGACACAGGTCTCACTCGAGAAGTTTAAAAAGTAAATTTTTTCTGATAAAGTTGAGGTAGAAGAACAAAATTGGTGGCCAAGGAAAACCAAATTTCCCTTTTAATTAATACTCAGCCACAACTCTACACATCTCCACAGTTGGACGAATTTAAATGTCAGTAAGTCCAGCAAGGAGGCACTCAAACTAGAACAACACCCCATCTTCCAGTTCCTGCCAGGCTCAACAATCCCTCGATCCCCTATATAAAGCAAAAACAGAAGATTTAAAAGAAAGAAAGAAAGAAAGAAAGAAAGAAAGAAAAAATCCCTTCTCTTAAAGGGAACACAATCAGTCTGAAAATATCAAAAGGCACAACCGTTTCACTGCTCCTCTGCCTCCTTTCTGATGAGGTACATGAAAATTTATTACAGCTAAGGCAAGCTAGTCCATTTGCACAAAGAGCAAATCAGGCAGAAAATATTATTATTAACTGCTGCTAGTCCCTACTAAAAGAAAATACAGTGTGTGTGTGTGTGTGGGGGGGGGGGGGGGTTTTTCTCTCCAACAGTTTTAATTATTGTGTTTTGCCAGAGTGAACTTCTCACCAAAAACAGCAGAGCAATTTTACACATTTAGTAAACCTTAATTAAAAAAAAATTAGGGGAAGATTTTTTGCAAAGAAAAAAGAGAAGAAAGCATGTTAGCGATGTGTGTCTACTCAAAGTAAAATAGTAACCAAAGATTCTGTCAGAAAACTAGAAGCATTGGGGAAAATTTGGAGATGAAAAGCTGATCTTTTACAACTATAAGTGATATATCATAGGCTCTGCCTTCTTCACCCTGTTGAGATAACCTTTCCACACACACAGATTTTGTTTCTTAGATAAATCTTCAAAAACGTGGGAGGCATTGGTCCATTTTGGATTGGAATTCCTAAGTTAAACTAAACGACCCATGCGTCATTCAAGTAGTTACATGAGGGCATGCTAGTAACGATATGCACTTTTCTTCTGGTATTATTTATCTTTCTCAGTTTATTCAAGAAGATGCAAAAATAACTCTGCGGGTTCTATCCATTCCTGGTTGTCACAGCGAGAGTCAACAGAAGTTTAAGTAAACATTACATTAAACATCTCTCTGCAGTGTTTACTGCAGAACTGCCATTCTTAAAATGAGTTTTAACCTCACATTAATACAACTTACAATACACTTTTTACTGACATCAGATTATTACAAGTATTACCAACCCCTAAATTCATGCCTGGCATCCTTCCAGGGAGACCAGACCAAAGGATACTTACAGGCATTCCCATAAGACTACACTAACATATACGTTTTCTTCCCAAATCACTGAAGGATCCTTACCTGCCACTTGGGAGTTAGCTAACAAATAACAACAAGTACTTTGCTTGTATTGGCAAGGTAACGCTCAGAGACGCTAAATTCAGAGAATAAAAGTCACCCACATCCTTTTCTCAGTGTGTGTGCACGTGGTGGTGGTTTTTTCTGAGGGACAAGAAGTTCAAGGGTTCAGAAACAAGCTATGCAGATCACTCACTCAAGACCAACTACGTTTGAAGACATCAAAGCTGAAGGGTAACCCATCAGCTTTGACTACACTTACCTTGTGGCGTGACTCCAAAGACCCTACCACTTTAATTCAGCAAGCGCTCTACTAAAATAAAACAAGCGCACAATTTGCTTTGGGACAAATCCCAACAACTTAGATTTCTGCAAAAAAATAGTATCCTTCAAGAAACTAATGAAAATATCCTAAATAGTCTCCCTTTAAAAAAGCATATGATTTTTTTCATTTTCTCCTTCCTCTCCTTCCTTCCCCACCCGCCCCGGCTGTATTTTCTTTCCCTTGGAATGCCTTCTCTCATTTCAGACCCACCTTTTTTTGGAGAAGCTTTCCAAAAGCTTTCATTAACTGTCCTGTACTTGAACTGCTATCTCGTATTTCATGTTTTTCCTTTGGAAATAGGCTACTTCTTGGATCTCAGACTACATCCTGGAAATTCCAACATAGGCACAGCCCTATTATCACCTTTGCAACCAGTAGGAACAAGTTCTGGATCTCACCTGCACCCAAAAGTTGTTTGTAACAACGTAGTGATGCCCACACAGAAGAAAATGGTCCCAATCAACTGGCTGGTAGCCCACTGGTCAAATCCAACACACATGGCATCAGCAAGCAAAAAGGGCACTGCTATAGTTCCACTGAAACATGTTAAGTAATGCTGTGAACAGAAAAATGGTTTGTTAATACTTGAGCCAACATTTAAAAAAACCTGTTTTATGACCATCCTTTCTTTTACACTTGATCTTTTTGCTCTTACGTTATCCGCCAGGTCTCTCATTTCCTGGCTCTAAACATTTCTTCTAGCATTTTACCTTCCTTGTTTAGCTAGCACTAGCTTGCTGCTAATGATCTCAATTTATGTAGGATAAACTAGGTTATTTACATAGCTACATGGCTACTGTTCTTGATGACGGAGTATCTAGGTAACCGTGCTGAAAGCAGCTTCCAACTTAGAAAAGCAGATAAATAACTCCATTCATTTTCAGCCATGTGAAAGACCATTAGCTTACAAATGAACTTAGAGCACACACAAACCAGGCCGCACATAAGTGCACGAGTACCAGAAACTAGCTACTCATTAATTCTTCTTCTATCCAAGTACAGTAAGTAAACAAACAACAGTCACTATATTCAACATCCAAGTAAAAATTTAATCCTTACAGAACTGTCTGCCCTTGACAAAAGGCAGGAATAAGAAGGATGCTTTGGAATTTATTTGTTTGAGGATCTCAACATACTTTACAGATATTAACAAATTCTCAGCATTCCTGTGGGATGGATTTTTATTACCATTCGAGAAAGAAAGAGATGAAAAGAGCTGTTCCACTTCACATCAAGCGAGTGGCTGAGCTAGTAGTAGGATCCAGCTCCCTACTACAGTCCTTGTCACTGTAGAAAGCACATCGCGCTCCAAAAAGGGTACAGGACTTGCCCGCCCCACTTATCAGCACGCTTACTGGTAATGACTCCATGACAGCGCTATCGGGCTTGCAGAATTGACACAGCTACAGTAGCAGCTTTAACATTCAAAGTGTCAGCACTAAACCATTCTCTCTTTCCATCTTTTAATTCCAGAGGTGGCACATGTCACCTTCTGAAGCTTACCACTTGGCATTTGTTCACTTAGTTAACTAAGCAGCAGCTTTAAAAACTAAGTGAATGCCACAAATGCACATGCCAGCAGGCAATAATATAGACCATCAGCAATACAGTAACTTTGCCACGCGAACAACTTCAAAAGAAATTGCCTTATCGCTTTCTTCAAACGTTTGAGAGCGTGGGAAGACTAAAATCACCACATACGCAAGCGCACAACAAACTTTAAAAAGCATTGAGAAAACATAACATCTGTTTTGAAACATACCTGTAACCCCAAAAATATGCAGAGATACCAAGGAGGAACATCTTCAATAGTGTAAATCATGTCAGTTCTCTGCGCGTCTAAACTGCCGCTGCTGTCCAGTGTCTCTGCCAGAGAGCTCTGTCAAATTGGGGGGGGGAAGGACACAAAACACAACCGCAAGTTAACGTTGCATGAGAATAAAATGAACCGTCAGGCAGCTCCTCAGGCCTCCCAGAGCGGTGTATTGCTCTCAAGCAACATCAATATGTTATAGCTTTGGAAGCCTTTTACCTCCAAGAGGACGAACCATCCCCTGCTTGTTTATGCTAACACAACAATTGCTCGTTTATGATATAACCGATCTGTCAGCCAAATGGTGCCGTAAAAATGGGACCGTCACGACAGACTTGTTTATGCAAAAAAGAAAGAATTGGAACTAAGGAGAAGAGTCAACAATGACTATTTCAAAGTAAAACGGCTACCCTTGCATAAGGGACGTAAATCACAGGCAAGGAAGTTCCTCATCACAGTAGTTGCTTCCCAGCTTAATTCTTACTCAATTTCGGTCTTGGTTAACCATTTTTAGCCACACAACTTATTATTTTTGCTTCCACCCTGAGCTAATCGTTGTAACTGAATACATGCCCAGCCAATTTATAATAGCCAAGTTAACTTCCTCCAAACCTACAGGAAATTTAAGACAGACCACATTCTGGCCTTCTTTACAGCTAAGTGGAATTGTTCTAACTGTCCTGTTTTCCAATGCCTGAGAACAATACACAATGCTCTGAAGACCTAATACCAACAACAAAAGCAGGAGGAAGTATCAGATTTTATCGTTTCAACTTAATCACCAAAAAAAAAGAAAAAACCCCTTATGTAACTACTGTTCCGACCTAATCCATGCCAGGACTAAACTCACGTGAAGTAGCCTTACACAAAGGCTGGGAATTTTGCCAGACTTGTGATTTTGCCTCAAATGGTCTTTATTCCTTCAAAATCACAACACATCCACAGATTATTCTTAGATGATTCTCTATTTGGTTTATCATCTACAAGGTCAGAGAAACCTACTGACCCATAGCATTTCCCTTTCACCTCCAGCTCCTGTTGAGAAAACAAATGCAACCGGCTACGCATGTTAATTCAAATTCAGGGAGCGTCAATTACCACACAGAGCTGCAGAAAAGATCGAGGGGAAATACAGCCACGTTCACTTTTAAACGCTGTTAAAACACCCAGTATTTTGCTCACCAGGATTGGTTTAAATACAGTATAGCTCCAGAAGAGTTCAACAAGGGAAATTACTCATCGCACAACCCAGCTGGCCAAGTAGCAGCAGCAACGTTGCATTTTCATTGACCAAAAGAAAAAAAAAAATTAAGGAAAAAAAAAAACCACGCACACAAACAAGACCCCTACCCCACTGACATAATTCACTTAAAGAGAAGGAACGTGAGCTTTAAAGCTTCACCTCACCCAGGAGGGGGAGCATTTAGCAGCAATAAACTTGTACGTGTTTTGTCTCCAGCTGGAATTTACTTAGCGCAAAACACGTGTATCCTCATGTCAACGCACGTAAACGTAAAGCCAACCTAGGGCACAAGGTGGCTGACCCAGGAAGATAAACAGTAGGAGGGAGATGCAACAGCTGACGTAGTTACGGAGAAACAGCAGGATATTTACGGTCCCTAGGGGCTTCCTCTAAGGACCTGTTCAGGAAAATAAAGATTCGCCCCGAGAAGCTATTGCAACGCTTCCTGTTGTTATAAAGCAGCTTTGTTTAACTTCCTCCAGAGACTCTGTGTGTAAATATACACTGACACATAAGTGTATGTTTTATATATATATTTATGTGCATTTACACACAAAACCATATACATACTTATATAAGCTTGCCCTGCCCTCTATTTCAGTGCAACAGATGCACCACCTGAAAGCTTTGCTCACCAGCGGCACGGTTTGTTTATTCAATATTTTGACTAAAAGGCCATCGTTCACTTTCAGAAAGGCAGAGGTCTTAACGGAAGAGTAAGAACGGTTACAGCCTCTCCCTGTGAGGCAGGACTAGAGAAGTATCAGCTGCTGCGTTCCCCTTACGAACCACGTCGGCGCTGGCTTGCTGAAGCCACCCAGCTAGCGGCAGATTAAGCAGACCAAACCATGGATAGCTCCCCACCCGACCGGAGCGGGGAAAGAAAAAACCCCTACCGCAACACGCACAGGCGCAACCTGTAGTAATCCTTCCGAGGACCGAGGGAAGCGGGATTGTCAAAGTCCATGATGTTTCAGTGCCTGCCTAGAGATCGGAGAGGACGACCTGCTTCTACTGGAAAAGACTCGTCCAACAAGTTTTAGTCTTTTTTTCATTTGTGATCGCAGACAAACGTAGGCATAAATGTAAAGAGCCACAAAGACGGGGCTTAAGAAAAAGTCAACGGGCCCACTAATCCGAGGGATGTAGAAAGCTCTTTGGACGTGGATCAACAACTGCTAAATAACGTAAGCTTTCCTTTCGAAAGGGACGTTTCCAGGTCTTCTAACAAAAGAATTTCAAACTTCAAAGCCCAAGTGACATAGCAAAGTCTTTCTTACGCAGCACCTGGATCGCGGCAGCTGTTTAAAGCTTTGTGAACTAGCGGACTAGCGAGATGAGCACTGCTTGGGCCGATTTTACAATTACTACTTAGAACGCGGTGTAGTGATAACATGGATCCCCTTTCTATTTTAATCGTAGGCAGCTGCAGGTATGCTCTTCATCTCTTTCTCAACTAACGAGACACACAGTTTAGGTCAGCAGAAACACAGCTCTGCTCCTTGCAATAGCAAGGTTTTAGGATAAAAAACACGCAGGATATTCCTCCTTCCTTCCCAACGCCAGACTTATGCTCACGCGGCAGAAGCAGCTTTCAACGTTATCAAACCTCTAGCAGATAAGAGCTAAAGGGAGCTGACATAAGAGCCCAAGACTGAGCAGCGGAGAGTCCAGGAATTAGAGGTGAGGTCTGGCTACTCAGCTGATAAGTAGTCATCGGCCCTTTCACATCTCAAGCCTGTGCCTACTAGTTTAATACTCTGACCACGCACGGGTGCTTGCCAAGTGTCCCATAGCAATACGTTTTGGGGAAGTGCCGAGAACGAACCGCAACTTTTTGAAAGAGATCTTGATCAGAGACTAATTCATTTCTTAATTGGTCACAAGCGGGACAACACAAAAGTGAAAAGCACAGAATAAAGGTGGAGCAAAAATGATAGGAAACAAACACGGAGGAAGCAAAACGCCAACAGTCCAAGAAGACGGTTCCGTTATAAAGCGGGAGTGGAAAGGACCAAGAGCAGACTGATGAACTGCAAGGAACCAGTAAGAAGCCTTTAGAGAAATAAAGAACTGATGACGCATTCAAATTAATTTGATTAAGCAATAAGCAATGCACTTACCGTTTATTTTGTAGGGATGCAGCGCTACGCTTATTTATCATGTGGGTAAACAGCTTATTGTTTGAGATAACAATTATTGCAAGACAATGTAAGCACTAGGCATCCTCCAGCAATTAATTACATTTCAGTTCTCTTTGTTAAACACTTTTATTCAAGGTCTTCCACTTGCTTTTTTGGTGAACGATATCTTAAGAGGAAGGAAGGCAAGAATAATCACGCTTCATGCACGCGCTGTTATTTTAAGTGAAAAAAACAGAGGTTTGGCTAGATTGGCAGAAATACTAGCCTCAAATACTACCTTAATACCTGAGACTGCTAATTGCTAAAGCCCCTCTTTTCACTATTCATTCATTTTAAGACACAGCAAAGGTTTAACTCAAGCAGACTTAGTTGATTAAAAGCTCACTGTCTCTTTAAGGCAAGTTATCATCCATCATTCACAGTTCTGATCACATACAGCAAGTGGAAAGGAGAAAAGCATACGTTTGGAAAAAAACAGGCCATGAAGACATGCTTTAATGTCTAGAGATCGCCAATCTAAGTAAGTTGCACAATTTCATCCCAACAACTTTTGCTCACGGCTTTTATCAGATGTCTCTTTCTATGCTAGTCTGAGCATGGCCCAGTATCAGCCGCCAGGCATACCGGCAGGTCAGCGGTTGGGCAAATTTGCCCATTAAAATATTAGCATTATCCAAACGGTAGTAGAGACGTATCCAAGACAAACCTCTACATACAGACCATCTGCAAGAAGGGAAAGTCTAGATCAGACGCACACTGCAGCGTTTATAACGTCCTTCTGAAGTGTAACGCTACAAGATCTCCACCAGAATTACCCGTTTGAGCTACGTTTTAAATCTGAAATTCAGGAGTGAGTTTTTAAGGTTCCGCATTTGAAAACCTTAACTACATCCTTTGATATCATCCTGGCTCTAGTACAGCTCAAATAAACAAATGTAATGACGCCCTTACTTGAATCTAAGAGTGGGGTTTCTTTGGTTCAATTGGTGCATTTGAAACACTCTGCTGAATTGAGGCAATTCTGAGACAACATCACAACTAATCAGTAATAAACATCACAGAAAAGGCTGCATTTCAAGTGTATTGTAATCCTATTCCTTACTCTAAATAAAAGGTCAGAGTCACACCTTCTCTGTTTGCAAGATAATTATTAAACCAGGCTGAAGAATGATGGAATACTGAGGAGAAAAAAGCTTAAAAGTCGAAACCAAACCAGTCTCACTGTAGACCTCACAGGGTCTTTCTGAACAGCTAGGAGATAACCATTGCTACCTTATGAAAAAACGTCCCAGGGTTTTTATTAACCACCTGAACTTCACTCACAAAGCTGTCAAAAAATAAGCAGCAGCCCCCTACTTGGAAAAAGGATGAGAAAATTAAGTACATGATGTTGGAGCTTGGAAAAGACTGGTTGCACCGGGGATGACCCTTCTTCAGAAGGTGCTCAACACCACCAGCTTATTTGCCTAAAAACAAAAAAAGAGTTAACGACTGAAGAACAGAGCAGAAGAATCTCATTAGGGAAATAGTGTAAAAGGCCAGCTGAAATGAAGAAATACCAAAAACTGCACATTATGAATTCAGATGGTAGGTCAAAGTGCATAAACTGTTCCTCATGTTTGCTGAGTCACCGTCCAAGTTCTGTAATCACATGTGCAGCCAGAGGAGTCATGAAGGCAGAACTGCCCAGAACCTGATGTGAACCTGCAAGTCAGCAGGTTTGATTAGAGAAAGGAAATCACAGTCAAGTAAAACTAGCGTGAACAAACGCCAATACTGAAAAAGCAAGAATGAGTTCTGACATGGAAGGGAACTACTACATACCTTTTCTGCTATGCCATTTTCTGTAGTATAGATCGCCATCAACTCTGTGTCTTCCGTATCCTGATCACCACTGGATGTTGCTCCACCATTTATCACGACCTTAAACACACACACAATAGTAAAATAAACATCTTCTCTGCAACCACACCTGATGTCAAGTACAAGAGGAGGAAAAAAAAAAATCCACGGATAACATCTGCCTCTTACATTTTAGAAAGTTTTTACATTTTGTTAGAGAAGATAACAAACATGGCAAGCAATCATATCTAGACCAAGTCTAGGAATGCCACAAAAAAAACTTGAAAGATCACAAACAGCTCCTTCAAGACTGGACAGCGTCTACTGGAGCTGGAGAGAACCAGCAGCAGACTGATCAGAACAGTTCTTAAGAGGCAGGTACCTACAATGGAATGATATAACTGAAAATCTAAAAAAGCAGAACAAGAAAAGAAGTTTTGTTTGCTGTTGCCTACTACTCCTCTTGCAGTCAGCTGACTCAAGGCACACTTCTCTCGGGGCTGATGCTTTCTTAACCATGAAAGTCAATTCTTCTAATCACAAACTGCCTAGGGAGACACACGTTCTGCAAACAGCACTTGACATAACCATTGACAACGTAACAGGTCACAGGTTTTCAGTTTCAGCTGATTTGTAGAAGTGACTTCCGATCCTTTAGGTAACTCAAATCTGAGCATTCGTCCAGACAATCAGGAACTTAACGTATAGGCTATTCTTGTTATTTTAGTCCTGGGAACCAGAGGATCACAATCGCTTCTGTAGAACCAGATAAACGAGCAAACAAAAAAAATATATATCTACATACACACGTATCTTAAAAAGGGTAGCAAGTGACAGAAGAGAAGGTAATATAAACTATTTGTGTGGATAAAGGTTTTGTACAGCATGACTAGAACTAAGAACTAGTCATTGATTTTTATTAAGCTTGATTATGTGTTTCTTGGATACGTTACTTACGGGCAGAGTGAAAAAGGTGGGATGTTTAGATTCATCCTCATATTTGCCTTCTGTTGAGCCTCCAGCCTCCACCGATTTTGAAGCGGTATTCTTACCAATCCCCATCGTTTCCAGAATGTCAAGGACTTGCATATAGTACCCAAACAGATGCTCCTCAAGATGACAGGCCAGACACTAACAGGACTAGCTCTTATTTAAACCACAGCACCTCTAGGAATTAGAAAAGCGCCGAGTAATCCAGCTGGAACATTAAGGTTGTCCTTAAGTATCGTTAGCATCAACGGCCCCTAGAATCAAAGAGAAAAAAAAAAAAAGATGAATTAAGTTTTTCATGATTAGCTAAGAGGTACGTATAAAACCCGCATGCCTCACAAACTTTGTTCCCCTTCATGCTCAGCACTCACCTACTTCTATCATTCCTTTTTATGATTTGATAATTAATAGACTACATTTAAAGATAAAGCTGATGGTATTTTAAATTCAGGATTGGAATACTGCAGTTATTCTCTTGTTCTCCTCTTGTGGTCTTCACTTATTATTAGCATATTAGAACTTCATTTTTTGGTTCAATCTCACTGTAATTCCCACAGAGCTTTTTGGAAACAAAATAATCCTGTACTTCAGCTACGCAGGGACGTTAAAACAGTTTGCTATTGCACATCCCTTGCAAATAATACTTACACTTTGTCATTAAAACTTGTAGACCTATTCATGAGTTTGCCTCTGAGGAACAAAACCCCTCCTTTAAACATCACTTTATTTCTAAATAAAAACTTTCCAAGCAGCTTACACTAGGTTGACAGTGAAGCACGCTTCACGTCCAATGACCTTTCCCAAAGACAGACGCCCCTTCTGTTTGCACACCCTAACCAAAATGATTCCATTTTCTTGAGGGACTCACAAAGTTATCTGCCTGACGATGCAGAAGCCACGGCTTCAGGATAAAACCCAGCCTGCCTTTTAATTAGTACCACTACTGTTTTGGCACAGGAAGAGGAAAGATCATACAGTGTACTGATCCCCTTTGTTTTACCAGACGGGTCACTACAGGATAGTTTTCCCACGTTTGCTCCTTAAAATAGATGGGTCAGTCCACAGCCATTCACGTTTTTGCCATTTCCAAGACTCGGAAGCATGAATTCACAGATTTGAACACACACTTCCCACAGGACAGCATAACAAATGCTGCAGCAAACTCAGTTTTGCAACCTCTGGTTACTGAAGTCCCATAGAGCTTCGGAAAAGAAAGGGCAGTTGCACACAGCTAAAGATAAAACAAGCAAAGCTACAGGAAAAAGTGCACAACAGACCTGAAAAATGCTCTTTTCAAAATCAGAGCGCGACATTCTCAGCAAAAACAAGAACGTATTTAAGCAGCAAAGCTCACTGCACACTGGTGTTACTTCAAAAGCAAGTTAATGACATTTTCAACCAAATTGCTGGAGGCTGAAATGCAGTTAATGGATATTCAAAAAACTCAGAACGTATATAATAGAAAAGCAAAAAGCAGTTTAAAAGAAAAAAAAAAATCCCTTCCAAAATACTGTCCAGGAAAATGCCAGCAGCTCAAACGTCTACTGTAATTGCAAAAATAATTAAACTTGACAAAATCCCCTCTGCTAGGGGCAATTTAGGACTGTCTGAAAAATTACAGAGTACTAATATTTTAGAACCTCTTAAGAGCTGTTAATTACCCATTTGCTAGAAAATTCTGGTTACTTGAGGTGAAAGAGATATTAATCTTTCAAAGTGATTTAACTGTTTAAGAGAGAAAAATATACATACATAAGAATTACTAGATGGGCACTGAAATGCCCTTGAAGCATTCCTAATTAAAGCAAAATGGGATGGAAAGCAGTAGCTTCAAATAAGGATTTAATTAAGAGCTGTTTTTTTAAAGTAAATATTAAGATAGCATAAGTAACCGCTTCGTGCTTGAACTTAAGACTAAAGGAGAAGACTAGTTCAAGTACCTACTATTATAAATATCTTTCTGAAAAAAGGCATTTCCATTTTTACAATAACCACCTACTTCCACTTTGAAAATACAGATTTCCAGGCACAGACAGCAACTTTAAAATTAGTTTGCGCACCAGGTAACTGAGGGTACCTCCTCAAAACTTTATAGCAACCCTAGTCCCAAATCTGCCTGGGCAGGTCTGAGAAATGACATGAACACACAAGAGAGAGGAGAAAGAGAGACTAGCTAAAGGTTTCATTGGGGGGGGGGGAAGGGGGGCTGTCCTTTTTTGAGGGGCTTTGTCCATTTTTAGCGTAGAGACATGAGAGTTTTTCTCCCAAGCACAAAAAAAAAAAAAAGAAAAAGAAAAACGGAATTTGCCTTTTTCTTTTAATGTAGACATAAGCCTCCAATAAGAATAGTGATGGGGACGGGCTTGACTTAACTCTGGTAGCTCTATCATCTCGGATATCAAAAGAAAAAGGGAAAGGTCTCCATTTCACATCCCAAACAAACGCAGCCATGCCAGTAAAACACTAGTACGAGAGTTATACCAGCAGGAAATCCGTCATTTTGGAGATGTAGCTTAAGGTGTTCTGGCAAGATAATCTTCTTAGCTAGCATTAACTAGCATCTCCACTGATGCACAGTAAAGAAGAACTTCTAATCTTATCTTGCTTTGCAGTGCAAAACACTAAGACTGCTGTCTTCTCAAATACGATGTGATAATTCCTTGTGAATTGTTTTTGTGAAGTACATCACAAGAGCACATAAATTAAGTGCAACTTGTATACTTCTTTACAGCAGAAGCACAATAGCAAGAACAAAGTGATTTTGATCTCCAAGATGAGGGTTCCCAAATGATAGCATACAAGCTGCTCCAAATTAACAGGCAAAACCAGTCTGATCTGCTACCTCTTCTTAGAGACGGTACGCGTGCGCACACATACGCGCACACACGCTTATACGTACCTGCGTCAGGCTGCGGGGTGTCCGAGGAAGACAAGGAGAACAGATTTCCAAACCACGCTTCCGGTTACTTCTCCTCAGCAACGAAACTTGCGCTTAATGGCACAGGTGCTAACCACAGGTTTTCAGAATAGTTGTATTCTACAATCAGAACCGCCAAGTCAAAGCAAAAGCCTTCAGGCAGCCGATCAGGTCGCCCAAAAGCGTATCATTCTCCTTTATCAGACCTCTCATCCCACCAACCGACAACAGCTAAGCAAGGTGACTCAGACCTTTTGTAACCACCCGTACCGATTCTAACCCATCAGAAGCCGAAAAGCAACGTGTCAAGAGAGAAAATGCCTTTGACATTAGGTAAGTACACACAGTACATTTGATGCAAGGCGGCAGATAATTTAATGTAAACACGAGAAATGAAGTTTCAACCAATATACTGATTAACACATCTCACTGTACCAAATTACCTTCGATACCTATACATGATTAACTCGGGAAGGCTAGAAGCTGACATGGGCTCACAATGATTTAGATAAAAGTTAGTATTTACATAGACAGCCTACTGAATGGGCATGGCCAGATACAAGTTCACAGAAGGCAACGGCTACTAGCTGATTCTCAGAAAACGGGGAAAGGTCGCTCCGCGTCTTCAGCACGCTTCTCCTGAGGTTGGGTACCATCGGGGAGAGGAGAGACAGCTCCAGAAAGGTTTGTCAGCATCCAGAGCTTGGGAAAGCAAAGGGCTGGGGAAAACAAAAGCAATCTGACCTCCAGACTGCAACATGCTTGGGGCAACAGGGTTTTGTTGTTGTTGCTCGTTTGTTTGTTTTTTGCATCCACACGCAGAGTCAATTTGTCGGCTGCTGTCAGACTGGCAGCTAGAGAACAGAGAGGCAATGCTCGGCTCAGGATATACTGTTAATACTATAATGCGTATCTCCTGACATTTTCAACAAGCAGACCTAGAGATTAACCCTTTGGAAGAAGCTTAGCTGACCCTCAAGGTCCCCATGATTGTCTAAAACTGTCTTCCTGAACAAAAAGGGTATTTACAGTTTGAAAGCACCTCGGTATGAAATGCTCAATTCACTCAATTCCCAGCTTTATCACAATGACGTTCGACCCTAAAAATTACTGTTTTTACAAAGTGCTAGCATGATGCAATTGTTTTTCCCAGAAGCTTTCAGAGGGAAGCAGCTTCATGCGTTTCCTTATTTGGTCAATTCAAAACAAAAGCTTCCTAAAGCCATGAGGGTCTTGACAAAATTTCCACTGGATCTAGCCTGAGAACCACTAAATTTCTATCAACTTAGCCAGGCCCACCACGGAGATGTCAGCACAGATATTTTAGGCTTTCCACATCAACTGTCGCAGCTGCGTTGAGAGAACAGGAGAGCGCTGACCCAGCACACAGCCCAGCAGATCAACACTAGCAACAGGCCCAGAGCCTGAACACAACTGAAGTAGCCCTGAATCCGTGCTTTGCACGATGGGGCCGTAGCACTTCAGAACTGGCACCAGATGCCCTACAACCACAGCCACAGAGAGAAACCACTGCAGAATCACAAGCGTTTCCCTGCTCTGCAAACAGCAGAACAGCCTGCAAAGGCTATGAAAAGCAGAAAGGGAAATCGGCCACTTTGTGATTGCGGTCTGCTGTCTCGATTTCCCTCAAACACCAAACGCTGGTGGGGCAAGTCTAGGGCACAAGTAAACTCTGACCGAAGAGAGAGTTAAAAGGAGAAGCTAGCTAGTCTAAACAGTATGCGTATGCTCTCCTTGGCCAGGAGGATCTCGGACTTACTTGCGTTCCTGCCTCCACATTCGTACTTTGTTAACCTGGACGGCAGGGTTGAGATTTCCATGACCGTCATGCTTCCCAGCCTAGCAGAAGCATCAAAATGGAATTAACTGGTTAATCAGTAACTGCGGTCCTCTTCTCTGCATCTCCACAGGGGGAACTAAGCAACTAACCTGCATTTGGTGGCTCCACGCTGCTGCGCAAGGGAAATTTGTGTAGAGAGAAGGACAACACTGGGGGTTATAAAAGAAACTGGTGATGGAACAGCAAATTCCTTGGAGCGTGCGGATGGAAAAGCTCCCAGAACTACTCCAGGTAGGTATGCCACCTGGTGAGCACATCACGCAGCCCAGAGGAAAGAGCAAAGCGAGATCCAACACGGGACCCTCTTGGCCTTTACAGATGGCTGACGAGCCAGAAGAGCTCTGTCTGTAGCATACACTAAGGAGATCAGAATCAAATTAAGGTGATAGCTTAATTACAAACTCCAATTTATTATTTTTAGTTAGCTGTCAGGCTTATGTGAACATCAACTAGTTTCTCCCGCAAGCAGAGATGACGCTCAGCCAGAAGTTGTCCAACCTTACAACCAAGGTTAACTTCACCAAAATTTTAAATAAATTCAAAACCCTTAAGGAAAATAAGTACTTTAGTACATCTGAAGTCCCACCAACTCCAAAAGCAGTTTCAAGTATTTGGCACCTCTGAAAAACAAGCATACTATGTGTCTACATACAAATCAAGATATCCTGTAAGCCTGAAAACATATTATTGCCAATAGACACGAGGCACAGATGTGGAAAGGAACTTTGACTCTCCGCACTTAGGGATATTTTATGGTCAAAACGCATCCAGTTTGGAAACGGAGCAGAACATACACCCAGTTTTAAAATCCTCCTCTTGATGTACCTGATTCTACGAGTGCTGCGGAGCTATTTCCGAAAAGGGCACGCTGTGGGACTGCAAGTCAAGATAAATTGTCAATTCCTGTAGCGTCAGACAGCTATGGAAATATCGAGCCAGTAACAAACGCATGGCATTTACATTGTTTAGTTAAAAAGAAAGAAAAGAAAAAAAGAAAAAGTGCATTTAGGGCAAGTAGTTAATACTACTGTACAGCAATGAAGACATATAAAGAGAGAGAGGCTGCATTCTGCAGGACAGAGCTGCACACAATTTGGTTGCCAGCCGACATTCACCAGGAGACAAGGAGGAAGGGGACAGGCAGACACACAGCTGGGATCAGCAAGAACGTATCCAGGGAGATGCCGATTGCCCCAGAAGGCGGCAGGATGGATGCCAAGAGATCAGGGAAGTTTTGAAAGAAATGCCTTCACCAAAACACTGCAGACTGATTAGGGGAACGGGAGCACTTCTAAACATTCAAGACCGGCAAAGCGGACAATTATGGAATTTTGTGGAGGCTCCAATTAGACAAGTTTACTTACAGGGTGCAGCTATCCCTGGCCAGGCAAATGATTAAAAACAAAAGCAAGGCAATTCCCAGGTAATTATGGAACAGCAGCTTTAGCCAGGTTGTTATTGGCTCTAGTTAAGCCAGTGGCGCAAATTTTCTGTTCTGATTTTGTCCCATTAAAGCATTAAGAAACAAAGACTCCTCTTCCTGTTATTAAACACACCTGGCCTTCCATGCATTAAATCAGAGCCACAGGCATTGTGATTTGTATTTATACTCACCATCACCTTCCCAAGTCCCGAGTTATCCCAATTTTCATACTAGACCATCCTTTTAGGGCCCCTTTCATTCTCAGCCTGCCTGCCATAGCCATTTACACCTACTACTTAACAAAACAAATATATTAAGCCTGAGAAATTCAAGTTGTTAAAATGAAGCGGTGCTTTATCAGAGGAGTTAAAAAGAAATATTAAAACCCAATTTACAAACGATCACAAGAAAGCATTTAACATCTAGTTTGCTACTCCAAACGGTCCAAAAAGTTGCTTGCTGCTTTCCTACAAAGCAAAAAGGTCCTCCCTTTTTCCAAAGGATTCATCAACATCTAACTCATCAGCAAGGCTAATAAAGCTCAACCAGTACTTGACGTGATGCAGTCAAAATACTGTCTACAGACCCACAACCGCAAGTTCAATTGCCTCTGAGCATTGGCCGTGGGTATTACGTCTCAAGATTGGCACTTAGATACAGCTCCTCAGAGGTCCCTGCCCACAAACCGTTCCAGATACGTAGGTGTGCCTGAAGGGCATTTTCTTCAACCTTGCAAGGGTTTTTGACTGTCTTACAGACATGGAAAAAGCTGCGTAGCACCTACACTTCTGTTGCTACATGTAAAATTATCTTCCTGCTTCGTCCTGAAGTAAGGCTTTTCCCCAGGCTATTTTGTAACTGAGCCTCTCTGGTCAGAAAAATACTTATGATTAGTCTTTACCGTGTGCTCCTTGCATCCAGAATTCCTTTCCATTAAAGGAAAGGGCACTAAAAAGATATATCTCTAAATGAAACGCCAAACGCAGATCCCCCCCCCCCCGCCCCAATGAAGAACAGCTACATCCACACGTATAAAAGAGAAATGTCTTTCAAATTCCTAATGCAGCATTAAAAAAGGCACCATTTCCCTTTACCCACATTAGAGGTGGACACAATATTGCTAATTATGCCAGAACTTTCTAAAAGTTGGCTTTAAAAAAAATAAGATTTAAAGATTACCACAAGGAGTTTTGGTCCTGAGTTGGTTTCTCACTTCAAAGCAAGCCTTCAAAGTGCAAACATATTCTTTCTTTGTAGGCACTAATGAATTTTTAAGTAGGTGGTATTTTGACTGCCGTCCAGAGCAGTGCGTCTTAACAGTTGACCAACATTAGAGCATGTCTACACAAAGAGACACAGGAAAGTTATGAGTTCAAACCTTCTCTTCATTTCAAGTACATTAGTTAAATCTCATTAACTTCCCGTGTGAATGAGCTTGTTCAGAAGCGGCCTTAAATCCAACTGAATGAAATATTTAACAAAGGATCATACAGCTTTTAAAAACGACATCCTCAGTTAATCAAATTTTTTTTTTTTTTTTTTTTTAGAAGAGCTAATTTAGCTATAGTTCTGAATAAAGATACCTGCAACAGGAGTATTTCCAAGAAGCGTAGGTCAACCTGAACGTTGACCACGTTTGGTTAAATCGGTATTTGTCAAGCTGTTCCTTGCTTATCTTCCACCCCACTCCTCTCTGTATTTATTGTTCCAACAGGCAACAGGCTTGCCCAATTTCTGTGCAACGCGCGCACCGCTCTCCGTAAGAGTTTCAATCTGTATGCAACGCTCTGTATTAAGAGTCCTAACGAACGACCAAGAGAGAAGTATACAGAACAAGCTACAAGACCGTATTTCAAGAAGTATAAGCAAAATCTAGACGATGCAGTTTTACAGCTTGATCTCAAGTGACTGATATCAAATGACACCTTTAATGTTCTCAAGATAGGAACGATGCCCACAGTAAATAAAAACTAAACGCCCGAGTTTTCTTTACGAAACATATTACCACTTCATGGTCTTACTTTTAGCCCAAACACCTCCCTCAGTGTTTATGGCACAAGTTAATTCAACTGAAAATAGTATACAGCCTTTATAGTTTCCCTGTGGTGCATTAATAATTAAGAATTCAGATACCTCCACATTATTATGGACCTTAATACACAGTTCATTAAGCTCCTTTACTGCACTCAGAAAGCGCTCTGAACACACACTGGTTCTTTTCTCAGCTTTCTTTGTGCTTCTCCTTGGCACTTTGATGTAAGCTACTTTTATCCAGACCCTAATCACATTAAAACAAAGGTGAAGTTATAGACTCATCTAGGAAAAATTTCATTTATTAAACAAACCTGGGTAATGTGCCAGCCTTTTCAACCCTGAACGTGAAGTTCCTTTCCTAAGACTTAAGCATTCCTAAGTCTACTTTTGAAAGAGATACTCCTGGCCTGAGGAAAACGATTTTAGTCCAGTAAGCAATATAAAGCCTCCTAAATGATTACCCGCTTTAACATTTGTATTATACTGAGTTCTTCCACTAAGCTTGACTTAAATAAATACTTTCCTTCCATTTAACATTCCTAAGTTCCAAATCTTCTAAGTAGGATTTCCAGAAACTAACCAAGATGCTGCACTTCTGTGGTCAAGCATTCTTAAATCCTGTTTTTACTACCAAAACCTCATATAATTTTCTCCCATTTTGAAATTTTAAAGAAACCAAAGCTCCCAGGTAAACAGGAAAAAGAGTGTAAATACCTTTCAAATCTCCCCCCTTTACAGCAGTAACAAAAATATTTTTAAATGAAAAACTAAGTCCTCAAATCCTTAGTGTATTGAAATTGAGCTATTCAAATCTTAAGTGTGGCACGATTAAGAGTTACTTCCATCTTATGATAATAATGCCCGCACTAAAGCGGTTGAGTCTTTCTAATTATCCCCAGTAACACGTGAATTAAGAGCAGCTCTTACCTCAAGAAACCCGTACTAACTTCCAGGGCTCGTCTCAGTCAACTCCTCTACAGCATTTCTTCCAGCCTACGCAAAGCGCAACAGTTCAAGCTGCAAGTTGCAGTCTAAAAGGATGCAGACACAGAGAAGAAGGATTTTTATAACCTGTTGGGCTCGCTACCTTGTATAACTGTACTTTGTCCAATCAAAATCTCCGTGTATTACACAACAGCAGAAATACAGGAAGACACCATACGGTTTTAAGCTGTTACTACATGCTTCTGCCATAGTTATGAAAAGCAAGTGGACAGACAGTATCTCTGAGTAACGGCAGAGTGCGTACAAATCAAACTGAACAAGTTCAAGTGTTTTACATAACCTGAAATACCACACACAGAAAACCCATCAGAAGAGACGGACCCAAAAAATCGAGTTGGGCAAATATTTACACGCCTAAGAGCTGCGACGAGGACAGTGGTTTTCCTCCACCCATCTCCACAACAAACAGTTTGCATTTCTATAAACCTAAGTTGTGCAACTCGCAAGGAAATATTTTTGCTAGCAGTTAGCCAGTTTTCCGCAGCAGCGCCCCATCTCAAAACTCACATCTGTAATACAAGGTTAAGCGTTAAGCATCATTCAGCAACCTCTCAACACGTCAGCGTGCTTGCAGTGCCATCAATGAGACACCTTCACTTCCTGCTATCCTACGTGCCAGCTAGGAGAGGCCATCGCAAAGGCGGCAGCCAGCTCGCGGACGCTGCCCACCTACACACGCAGCGTCCCCGCTACCGTCGCGCTCGTGAGACGCGGGCCGAGACGTCCCACAGCTCCGAGGGCAGAGCTCGCGCTACCTGAAACGCACCTTTGGAGCCCAAATTTGCAAAGGCAAAAGACAGGCCAATGGCGCCACCTAGCTCCCGTCTCCTAACGGGCAAAGTAAGCATTACGCAAGTTTAAAAGTTCGTAACAGACTGCCAGAACTTACTCGATTCTTGCTACTTCAGAAGGGACAAACTTGAGTTGTGCATCACCAGCGGATCCAAAACTGGCATTGGCCCCCTTTTCCTCAACGAAGGAGCTACTGAACAGGGCACGTTTCACTGAAAACTGATAAAACTTCTTACGTGCAACGCTACTTTTCCATCATTTACTAAGAATACAGAGAAGCTAGCCAATTATCTCCACTGATTAAGTTCTATGTAATGTCTGCGTATCATAAAACTACACTGTGTTCCAACATTTAATCTTCACCGCAAAGAGCGAGATGTTGAAAAGTTACCTCCTCCACCGGCTCCTTTTCTGGTTTTCAGATTCTTTGTTACCTTCTGAATTCCAAGCGTTTTCGCTGAAGTCGGCCCACAGAGACAAAACATCTCATTTCAGTACAAAGAAAGTTTACAGTCCTTAATGCAAGCACCACCATCTCTGCAGTTTTAATACCACAAAAAATAAACTGCTGCACCACAATTTCTCTAAAAGACTGCTCGCCTACAATACTTTTGAAGGAACACGACGGAAATCCTTTCAGATTCAAGTCATTTGATCTGCTCTCAAGGAGCTACAGTACTAAGTAAGTGACCAGCATCAAGAAAAAAAATGAAATATATTACCTGTTTTACAGACACCTGCCTTTTGAATTCTGATGTCCAGATTTTTTTATAGTTACATTAAAACAGACTCAAAGGCTGCGTGCCTTGAATATCAGCATCCTAAGTATAATCGAGTTCTCTGCAAAAAACATTACTTCAGTATCTGATTACACAAGAATTGTATATTTACTATACAATTAAGACCACTCGGGCCAAAATTCACGACCACTTGGTAGAAAATGTCATCATTTAAAAGATTTATTTTTTACTTAGGATTTACACTGAATAATTCAGTTCAAATAAACCTTCTACTAAGCTGGATGCCTTTGCTTAAAACACAGCTTCCATAATCCACAGTTCTTGGACAGGTCTAATCACAGGTCGCTTGGTTTACTTGTAGTAAATAGGTAATTAATCACTGCTGTACTTAAGATGAATGTCAATTTGAGATACAACTCTTGCACCCAGTTTTTTCAAGACAGCGGAGCATCTCACAACACATCTGCAAACTCTGTAACGCTGTTCAAGACAGGAGGGAGCAAACCGATGAGGTAAAAAACAGAAATGGGGAATTTTTTGCCTTAGTACAGCATTCTTAATCCGCTGGATCACGCTGTCTGGAATCAGAAGAATCCGCAAGATCAACTTGCTCGTCAGCCAAGTCAGTCCTCAGCTGACCCGCTACGCTTGCAACAACGGGCAAGCGCGCAGGGGAATCAGAGGTTCATTTTACTTACCGTACTGCAAATCCATTGGGAAGCTATAACTATTGCTGCATTTTATTGATGGAAGTGAAATCATAGTAGACAATTTATCTTGCACTACTTTAGCGCAGGAAGCAGACTGCCGGGATGATCTTACAGAGCCAGTCATCATTTTTATTACCTGCTTAATATTTGAAATTTAAACTGATGGGGGCACTTCTCTTGCTCGACAACATTACTCCTAGGAGGAGTTCACTTCTGACTATTACAAGAAAAATCCAATTTTGTACCTTCAGCTCAGGCATAGAGCTTTCAGTTTATGGATGAAACAAACACTTCAGAGAGCCCTAGTCAAATTATAAACATTTGCTGTTAGACACACATTGGTAACTAACTGACAACTTACAGGCAACCTTCTGAGCTGGAGTATTTATTCTGAGGCTATCCTTCATGATTTTGCTGCATTCAGAGTTACAAGTCATCTACTCCCGCCGTACTGAAAGCCGCATTCTATATATTTAAGGATGGTTAATCCATCACGATCAAGACCGATAACAATATGACCCAGTAATCGCAACTGCCCAGTAACCAAATCACTCCTTTGAACCTTCATACCTTGGCGGGTGATAACAAGGAAAACAAACAAGACAAAAGAAAGGGCAAGTCTGATGCAATCACTGATAATCTGTAAGGAGAGGTTCTCTGTTCCAGAACTTATCTGTTTACAAAAAGCCCAAAAAAAAAAAAAAAAGAGGAAAAACCACAGTTCTGGCGGAGCAGATATTCAGCTGCTGGAAGACAAGGTTTTCAGAAAAAGGCACATCGCCTTTGTGAGAACACCCTTTTCATCGGCAGGGTGAGGAGGTATAGGATGCCTCGCTGGCGACAGCGAATCGAACCTCTCTACTGCATTTTTGGAGCAGTCTAATTCAAGTATTCTTCCCAACAAAGTCGTAACAAATTTGGAATTTTTTACGTCAACGAAGAGATTCAATTTATATAGCAGACTCCCATGAACATCCTCTAGAATACACTTAACGTAACACAGCAAACACAAGAAAAGAGCATCGCATATTAGTAGAACAAACAGATCCACTTCCACCCACGTTTTTAAACAGCAGAAAGACAAAGCCATTAAGTCTGACCTTATAGAGGCACTTATAAATCCGCTGAATTATAAACTTGCAGGAAAAGCACTTATCAGAAGACACCCTTTAAGACAAAAACATTCAGTGCTCTCTTCTTTCATGCTGCTATCAAACACACACAAAGAATTATTGAAATTGCTTTGAAAGCTTACCATTTAATTCAATGAATGATGCATGGTCCTGGCTATTACTTACGTGTGCTCCTTGTACAGGACTCAAGGCATTAAAATGCACATCCCTCTAGTCTACCAGAAAGGATACCTTGAACCAATCCATACTAAGTGAAGCTTCTCTTTTCCAGTTACAGAATGCCGTGCCTAGCGCTCAATGTTTTTTTTCTTTTTGAATCCTAATTTTAATCTTAGAACTCTTCTGGCAATTGCATATTTTTAAATACTCACACTCAAAAGAAAAATCCAGGTCCTGAGGAATTGGTCAAGCCAGATCTATGCTGCTTCTATATAAAGAAGAGATCACAAGATGGAAGTGCCCTTAAAAACATCTATGGACTTCCAGACAAGGAATGTAAATCATTTTCAAGTTTAAAAAAAAAAAAAAAAAAAAAGAAATGAGGGGCAAGTCATATGCTCTAAAAGCACAGATCAAAGCACTCCAAAATTTAGCAGAAGGAACGTACTTTTTGTGACCTGTTATTGTATTCACCACGTCCACAAACTTGAGTCAGGCGCCTACATCTTTCCTGCACCTCCAGGTACGTTGACAATTGCTTCTTAATGCTAGTTCAAGCTCAACTCATTTTTCCAAGAACTGACAAAAATAAAACCTGTTTATTGGTCAATATAACACCATGTGAGGCTGCTGACTGCAACCCTTAGAGTGTCATTACCTACAAGCGATCCCAGATGCTCCAGGAAAACACTGTCAACCTTGACATGTTTAGGAGAAGGCAGTACAGCACCCAAAATGAAGCACGCGATAGCTCAGCCAAGGGAGCAACACACATCAGAGCTGACCTAATAAGCCTAAACCTAAAAAGCTAAAAAGTCAAACTCTGCTATTTTACTTCCCACCTACAACTTCAACCCCTTTGGCTCTCATAAATAGCACAGCAGAGGAACGTTTCTAGGTGCGCTCACGGGTTCTAACCGCAGCTAACGAAACCCACGATGAGCACAACAGCTCTCACCGACCCATTCAATGCCACAAATAAAATGCAGTGGGGATATGCAAATTTATATTCTAAGTCTAGACTTGAAACATCTGCCCATTATGCCCGATAAGGCTGCACTTCTGTCATTTTTTTCCTGTTACCTTATTTTGCTCTTATGATCAGTGAGTACACTTACGTTTTAGCTTCCATATCTTATTTGTTTGATTGCAAAGGGTTCCAGAAGTGTGGGCTAGATCTCTTAAAAAAAAAAAAAAAAGACAGCAGACTGATCTGGTTACAAGCTGTGCAAAGAACTCAGAAAGTTCCCTTCTTTAATGCAAGTTACTCCTATTTTCATTTGCTAAAGGCAAAACACACCCCATTTGTACAGTTTTGAACTCTATACGCTGTTTGCTCAGATGCCTAAAAAAATCCACCCGCACTAAACAGTAACCAGCCAGGTAGAACACGCTAGCTGCAAAACGAAGAGTTTTAAAGTAAAGGGAAAGCAAGCAGATAGCCACACTTCCGTTCAATGGTCTTGGCATCTCGTTCACGGTTCAGTAAGCA